GCGATCTTCGTCAGCTCCCCTATGAAATCGCACTTCCTCTTGGTCATGACACTGATTACTAAAGCAAATCTAATTTCTGATTCGTTAGCAAGGGGAAGCCTGTAATCAGTACACGCGCAATAAAGCTCTTAATCAGAAGAAGTGCATTTACGTTACTACTGCCGAGGAAAGGGCTACAAAATATTTCTGCTTTCTTTAGAAACACTTAAATGAACGGTCTTTTTTCAACAATCAAGAAAAAAGCATCTCTGGAATTGATTTTGGTGAAATTTTGTTCGTAGCGTACGGTGATAATAATTTTCATGTTCGTGAATTTGCTGACAACACGAATTCTGGATTGGTGCTCTTTTTAATCGCGATAAGAAGATAAAATGTAGTGGATCAAAATCACATATTCTCATCGCAGATGCAGGAGTCGCTAGTCATTATTTTGATGATATTATTTCTTTTTTGACATCATAAAATAAAATCGTTCGAAAAACTTAATAAGGACATAAACATGCGGATGCAAATTTTTTGGGAAAGCTGCAATGCAATTATTTTAATTTGCTTAATTTTCATCGTATCAGTGAAAATCCACAGCTGTTTGGCTGAAGAACCCATTTCAATGTCATACAGGCGCAGAGAAACGGGAAAATTTGAAATGCGTAGAAGAAAGGTAACTTATACACTTTTATTTGATGCTGAAAATGTGTTCTACAAGAGTGGAAGTTTCATTAGGCATCACTTTTTAAAAACAGAGTCACTTAAGTGCTATCCATTTCCATACACATTCTGTTAATCGATTCTGAAGATTTTGCACAGACCGGCGCAATTTGTTTCCCCAGATATTGGCGTTATTTTCTTTAAACTGAGTCTCGAGCCAGATAAGGTTTGTTGATGTAATCTGGTACACAACGCTCTTCAGATATATCTAAAATGTGTGGTCGCAAACTGAGAGGTCTGGAGACCGCGGCAGCAAAGCGAAGTTAGCATTCCTTGAAATAATGCGATCCCCAAACAAATGTCTCACTACTGCCATACTGTCGGGCAGGGTGTGCGTTGGCCCCACCTTGTTGAAACCAATTGTGCCAGATATGCCGAATGTCGAAATTTGGAAGAAAATGGAGGCTTGGAGTCCGAAATGTCTCTAGCATGTTGATATAACGTTGAAACGTCACAATGACTGCGGGGTCCCCTTCATCGACAAAGAAGTAATGACCTATCACCCCACGATATGACTATGCACCCCAATCAGTAATTTAAGGCTGTGAAATGATTGGTGATGTTCAGGAGGGTTGGTTTGTGCCTAGTAACGCATGTTCTACTTATTGACGTATCCACTTAGTTGAAATTCGGCTTCATCTGACATTCAAAGTTTTCAGTGTTGTTTGAATTCTCATTGATATTAGCCAACAGTTTTTCACAAAATTGTAGGGGCAATACACAATCGTTATGTTTCAGTCCTTGAATAACCTGAGTTATAAGGGTGAAATTTAAGACCATGGAGTATTCTTTGCACGCTCCGACGTCCGAGACGAAATGAGACAATTTACCTCACCGACGAGGACTTCTCTCCATTGTTGTTTGCACAGCAATGTATTCTGGGGTACGTACATGCAATGTATATTTTTTCAAAGCCGAACCCGTCTCTTCAAAGTTACGATCTCACTTTTTGATTGCGTGCGAAGAAGGGAATTGACTATGGGGCGGAATCTCACAGTGGCTCCGAAACACACTTCGGGCAGCTGCCACATTGTCACTCTGCTACGCTCTCACGAAGCCCTCACGCTCCGCACCGCTCCACTGCCTCAATGCAATCAAATTGCTGTTACTATACTGCGATTTTCGCAACTCTGCCCCTGGCAGGTATCAGCTGTTGACAGTTTCATCCAATCGCGAGCTTGAACGTCGTCATAGTGAAGTCACTATGGTGACGTTCAAGCTCCCAATTGGATGAAACAGTCAACAGCTGATACTTGCCAGGGAGAGAGTTGCATAAATCGCAGTATACTCGACTGTTTGGCATCATCTCCCAACTTATTGTACATCCACAGGACTGCCAACATAAATTTCAAATTTTCTAGTTTCCCTGTGCCAGCATATGTATGAAAACTCATTCTTTTAATTACAAGTTTAGTTGTACTTTTATTTTTCACTTAAAAATGAAACAGGTTATTTTCCAAATCGCGCATTCTAATCATCGAATAGGCTTTAATTTGACTTAACTTTATACTATCAACATGGTAATTCATTGAGTCACGTACTAATATTATATCCCGGTTTGCTTTCGAAACGTAGGTGCTCCATACGTTTTCCAGTACGTAGGGGAGGATTAATCAAAAAACTATTTTAGCAGAAATTTATAAATGTCATTTTAGAAGAAATTTTGCATTATATATGTTTCTCAGGCACAAAATTATTATGAACATTGCTATTATATGCACTTTCATAATTTGGGAAAGCTATTTCTCTTAAAGGGAATCATTGTGGTGAATTTCATTCTGCCGAAAGCAACAAAAAAATGGCAAACGGGAACACACAGCATATTGTTTTCTAAAAGTGTATTTTATTAGTAATATTATATTTTAATTGAGTAATATTATTACAGTTGTTTGTGTTAAGATATAACATTTCGACATTTTTTGACATTAGCTGTCTCATCATTAGATCTCACTTATTGTAATCAGAGAAGTTTCACTGGGTGAAACTAGATAGCGTATTGCTAAACAGGATTCATTTCGTGCATGAACTCCAACGTTGCAAATTATGGAAATATTGGGGGGTATGACATTCCACGTTGGTCTATGATGTGAATGGTAAACACAGAGAAGCCATTACATTAATGGAAGTTGTTCCGAACTGCAGTACCATTGCAGTACCATTGCGAACTGCAGTGCTGCTGTTGGTAAATACCAACGTTGGAACATCCTATTAGTTACTTATTTCCTATTTTGTTTTCTATTTGCTAACTGGTGTGTCGAGAGGTTGCCTGTAGATTAATGTATTTACCCAACTGTGTTACCAAGTCTTGCGTAGTTATCATGGTTTCTTTCGAGAACGTTCATTACGGTGGATACTGTCGCATATAGTCGATTTTTTTTGTATACCAGCATTCGTACAGATTTTCAATACTCGCTCTTAACGTCTCTCATTTTCAGTACACTCTAATACAATACAGCATAACATTATAAAGTGGTTGTATAGTACCCTATTTCGCTAGAGACACATTAAATTGATCCTATTGTATCGTATATGAAAATGCTGATTGCTCTAAGATCGCTAAATTGTCACGAATGCAATATGTGATGCCGTAGATGAATCGGTTGAAGCATCTCTCTGGATAACAGGAAGTCCCAAGTGGAACGTGCACTTGGTGACCATCCATTTGCAATGAACGAGTGGCGTCGTCGCAAGACGCGCTCCGAAGGCGCTCACCTTCAGCTCGACGACGATGATGGAGTCGGTGGCGGCCGCCGGCGCCCCGGGCTTCATCGGCGGCGACTGAGGCCGCCTCAGGCTCTGCGGCAGCGCCGTGGGCGGCGGCGGGGGCGCCAGCGGGGGCGCCAGCGGCGGCGGGGGCGGGGGCGCCAGCACGGCCGACGGCTGCGCCTTGAGCGGCGGCGGGGGCGGCGGGGCCTCTGCGTGCGGCCTCGTGGCGTCCTTTACCAAACACTCGCGCGTCACTGGGCTGCTTTTGCGACTCTCACTTTTCAGATTTCGCTTCGTTTTTGTTAAAGATGGGGCACTCAATCCCCTGAAATAATTCTTCGAATTAAAAAACGTGGGGATGCATGGCATATCAACATTTTTCCTCGTCTTAGTCTTGGGATATGCGCCAAAGTTTCATTAGTTTAAATTACATCTTTTTCACAAACACGAAAGTTTTTTAACGAATTAATATTAATGATATAAATAATTATTTAGATTCTTAAAGGCAAAAACGCGTTCTTGTGCAGTTTCTCAGTGCAGGCAAGGCTGGCTTGCGTAGTGTCGCCAAGTCTAGTTATTCGGCGGAACTGGAGCGTCGGTATGCCGTGGGGTTAGTTTATGCCTTATTTTAAGTGTCGAGACTCGTGTTATCTGGCCCATCTGACATCGCCAATTCCGCTAAGCTGATATCACCATCTGGCAGAGAAAGAAGGTACTACTTAGATGACGAAACAGGCGATTTTGAATTTTACTCAGAGGCTTGAGGATCTTTTATCTGCAGTAAATAGACAATGTGGGACACTCTGCTTTACTTCCTCTCAGAAGGAAGGCGTGCGAAGGACTTTTTCGCCTTTAAAAATCCAAGGTTTCCATCCGATTTCAAGCCGCAAACTTGCAAACTTGTGTTTGCCCAATACGCTGCTGCTTATACCACCAAAGGTGGGGGATATCTCACTCGCGATAACTGTCGGGTACAAACGTGGAAAGAACGTAGGAAAGGCGCTGAATGACTGCTGCGGTAGAATATTGTGCAATATCGGAGGAAAATGTCATATCCCACTGTTTGATTTGTTAGTGACAGAAAAGTCGGCAGAGTTTCATAGACTAAACATCTGTTATTTGACTGTAAGATTCTTAGTGAAACTTTTGAGCAGATCACGGCTCAAGCTCCTTCGGCAAAAGCTTTTCCTTCTAGTTTTGTGCAGACCTGCACAACGTCTGCCAACGTCAAGTGCCAAGCAGAGGGCTTCCGGGCCGAAGCCGAGCCATCGAAGTGAGTGCCGCCGGAACTCAGGTAATCTGACTGAGGGTTCATGCTCCCCATCGGACTTTCGTGCGCGATCGGAGGAAGTCAATCGCCAAATCTTACCCAAAGGTCTGTGGTGAATCACCTCCACCTCCTGAGTGGCCTCCACCGTGAAGCTACCGGGAGTGCTGTCGGGATCGCGAGGACGTAACCGCCTCCACCTAGAGCCTAAGGTCTTGCGACCGTCTACCCCCCGCCCTGCGGGGACCTCCGGAACCAGGCGAACAGGGTCCACTGCCTTAGAATATCCCAGCGTGACCCTCCCGCTTGCATCGTGGCTCACCCTGCGGACGTGGACGGCGGCGCCGAAGACGACGGAGGAGGAGGTGGCGGCGGGCCAGATGTGTCGCGCGGCCCCAGCTGCGGGCTGCGACGCGGCTTCGCCCCCCGGAGCGCCCAACTCGTCGCTGGACGTTTCGCGCACGCCGCCGCGCTCGCTCTCCAGTTTGCGCGCCCGCTGCTCGCGCCGCAGCGCCTTCGAGGGCTTCGCAGCCGCGCGCGCCTTCTCCGCGTGCGAGCTGGACGGCTGAGCACGCCAAGGGATTGCTTTTTAGGAACTTCTCAACTTGGGCAACTGGCGGGCGGAGAACGCGAGGGATTAATTAGACAATGTTTTTTAGGAACTTATCTTTGGGCAACTGGCGGAATGAGAACGCGAGGGATTAATTAGACATTGCTTTTTAGGAACTTATCTTTGGGCAACTGGCGGGCTGAGACCGCGAGAGATTAATTATACAATGTTTTTTAGGAACTTATCTTTGGGCAACTGGTGGGCTGAGAACGCGAAATTATTAGAGGCATTGTTTTTTAGGAGCTCATCTTTGGGCAGCTGGCGGGCTGAGAACGTGAGGGATTAATTAGACAATGTTTTTTAGGAACTTATCTTTGGGCAACTGGTGGGCTGAGACCGCGAGGGATTAATTAGACAATGTTTTTTAGGAGCTCATCTTTGGGCAACTGGTGGGCTGAGAACGCGAAAGGATTAATTAGACATTATTTTTAGGAACTTTTCCTTGGCAACTGGCGGGCTGAAACCGCGAGGGATTAATTAGACATTGTTTTTTAGGAACTTATCTTTGGGCAACTGGCGGGCTGAGA